CAAAGTCAAGAGTACATTTGAACTGATTTTGAATTTTTATATTAAAGTGCACAGAGTTTATAATACTTTATTAAATAAATTGAGAAAAGTGTAGTAAATTATTTTTAATTAAATTTCACAACGAAAATGCATTCATTGCGAAATGCGAAAATCGCGTTGGTCAGACACAGGAACATATTGCAAACTTACGATGTCGCGAGAAAGAGTTTCGGGACAGACGTCCAGTACAAACCCATCAGAAGCGTACTCGTCGCGAATCGGGGTGAGTATCATTCCTATTTCTTAATTAATCGATTTGCAATAATTATTTAAGCGCAGTGAAAAAAGGTCAAACACGTTTCATATTTTAATTTATTGAATAAAATTCCAAATTCGATTATTTATCTAGAATTACGAAATCAAGTATTCTACTTGACTTATCACAGATGATTGTATTTATAGAAAATACTTAATCTGCATCTGAAATAAAAAAAGAAAACAGATTAAATGCGTCATACTTATCACCTCTCGTATGATCTAAATTACGAAATAATTATCTACTACTAATAACTGAAAGTGACTCTTTAATACTCAGAACAGATACCCCAGAGGATAGTTTTTTTTACAGTAAAATCTCTCCAACTTTGTAATGTTAATTAATGCAAGCTATTAATATTTATCTTATCGAATTGTTTCACGTGAATTCGCATCTTATATTTTCACACAAACAACTCGATTGGTTTTTTCGTAAATAGCTTGATCAGTTTTTTACATAATTAATGTGACGGTCTTCCTTAGTTTTTTAATATAAGTTATAAAATTAGAGATAGATTTAGTTAAAAATAATCTTGTAAATACACAAGAGTAACAGATAATTTACTTAATTTGTCACTTCCATTGCTCCCATTTTAATATGATGCTCTATCTAATTACCCAAATTCTTATAATTGTGTATAATTTATATAATTTTCGTTGTATTAGAGCATGCATTGACCTCATCATTTAATTCTTGTCACTTCGAATTTAAAATCATTCTATTACCTGATCTATTATTGGATCACGACTTGATTATTATAGTCACTGACCTATTTAATACGATAAAATAATTTTAAAGAAAGGACTTCACACGTAAATATAAATCTGGTATTATCAATATCGTTCACAATCTTTAAAGTTAAAGTATTAATTATTAGAGAACTTTGTTTGCAAAGGCATGAAGTCGTCTAATAATAAATGGCACTGACCTCTCTGCCAGCTACTATACTTGTTTATGTACACTCATCTACGTGTCGTACAGTATTTTCCATTATTATTACCTAATTTATTAACAAATTCAGAGTTTTCAATCTACTCGTCTGATCAACTCAATTCTAGTATTTTAGTTTATTTTGAAATGCTAAAATTTAATTTTTTCGAAATTCCTAAATACAGGCATTGAATCATTTTTTATTGATGATGATGATGAAAAATACAAATGACAAGTTTATTGATTTTCATTGTCTTTCAGTCAGTTTTCAATCTCACTGTACATGCAATATATATTGTGACACTATCATTAAACGACCTTTGGCAGCGATTCGATGGAAGCGTACTGCGGTACTAAAATGCAATCGGGACAAAATGATAACGACGTTACTCTTTTGTGTCTGAGTTCGATAACGATTCTATTCATTGACGGCCGAAGACGATTTATTAATGTGTACTTAAATGAATATTTCTCGAAGAAACTAATTGCATCATATCAATCTTCGTCTCGCAAGAAATTTAAATAGACGTTCTTCATTTTGTGCAAAATGAATGTAATAGTACGTTCATACTAGATATGAAAATATTTGCAGTATTATGTGACAAGATAGAAATTTCCAAGGCAGGCCTTATAAATTTTATACGTGCATTCAAGAGAAATTAAGAATTGAGATATTTGTTTAAATACATGAGTAACATTGCAGAGTATAAAGTTTTATATATAGCAGCTTCCTTTATGTATTTTGACTTCAACCCTTATTTAACATTTTCTCATGTTATCATTATTTGTAGGCGAGATCGCGATTCGAGTTTTCCGAGCATGTACCGAGCTCGGGATTCGGTCGGTGGCGATCTACTCGGAACAGGACAAAATGCAGATGCACAGACAGAAGGCTGACGAGGGTTACATTGTGGGCCGGGGACTACCACCGGTTCAGGCTTACCTGAACATACCGGAGATCATAAAAGTAGCCAAAGAGAACGACGTCGATGCCATTCACCCTGGATATGGGTTCCTGTCCGAGAGATCGGACTTCGCGGAGGCTGTGATAAACGCTGGGATCAGGTTCATCGGTCCCAGCCCCAAAGTCGTTCAACAGATGGGTGACAAGGTAGTTTTTATGAAATGCATTAATTTTATCATTCATTCATACAATTCTATTTCTTTAACTATATAATTGTATTCTTAGTAACAATGATTATATTTGTATTTTGTAACCAGTTTTAATTTGAACTAACAATTGGGTTAATTGTACAATGATTAAATGTGAAATGGGATTAATTAGTAATTATTAATTAGGTAGCTGCTAGACAGGCTGCGATAGAGGCTGAGGTACCGATTGTCCCGGGGACGGATGGACCAGTGACCACTTCCGACGAGGCTATGGAATTCTGCATGAAGCATGGGCTTCCAGTCATCTTCAAGGCAGCTTATGGTGGCGGTGGAAGAGGTAGAATCATTATCTATTTTAATAATAATTTAAATTCATTCAAAATTATAAAATTTTATCATTTCACTATTACTTTATATGAAACAATTGTTTCGTTTTATTATTTAATACAACAAATGGATATTTTTAGGTATGAGGGTAGTCAGGCAAATGGAAGAAGTTCGGGAAATGTTCGATCGAGCGTCTTCAGAAGCTGCGGCCGCGTTTGGCAACGGGGCTATGTTTATCGAGAAGTTTATTGAGAGGCCCAGGCACATAGAAGTACAATTGTTGGGTGATAATGCTGGGAACGTAGTCCATCTCTACGAACGCGATTGCTCGGTGCAACGACGTCATCAAAAGGTCAGCCAAATAGAGAAGTAAATAAGGATAAATAGAAAAATAACTGGACCGCAAATTTTTATCAAATTTATCTATTCATGGATAGTCCGTTTAAAAA